TTTTTTTTTTTTTAGCAAATCTTGATATCAAGAGAGTATATTCTCATTCCAAATGTGAAAAATATAAAGGAGTGTTGCCCCCAACCCCAACCCATTGCCATCGAACCCCACTCTGACTCCAACTGACCTCTACAGGACAGAGCAGAGCTGCCCTCCTGGCTCAGAGGTGGTGTGTCTCCATGATGTGTAAATGAATACAATCTCATGGGAAGGGTCTCCACTGGGGCTGGTGTCTGAAGTTCCTTTTGGAGTATGTGGGAGGAAGGTGTGGAGCCCTGGTGGCCCTGGGCAATAGGCATTGGGCTGCTCACCATGAAGCTGGTAGTTTAAACCCTCCAGTTCCTCTGCAGGAGAAAGAAAAGGTTTTCGGTTCCCATAAAGATTTAGTCTCAGAAACTCTGTCCTCAAAGGGTCACTATCAGTTGGAATAAAATCGTAGACAGTGGTCACCTGGGGAGAAAGATGCTCCATAATTTTGGAATTGTGGGGATGAAGAAATCTTGGCCAATCTCTAGCTTATGCCTACTGTCTTCCCATCTTTGGGATTTAGGGGGCAGACCTGCACAGTATCCGCTTGCTCACGTCTCAAGGTTTTGTTTCTCAAGATTCGTTTTCTTCTGCTTAGTCAGCCTTTGAGTTAAATGTTATTATCAAGGTCTTTTAAGCCAGGCTTCCTCTTCTAAGGTTAGCCGGGTGTGTTTGGACCAATCAATTGAGCTATGCACCTGCATTGTTTTTTGTTTGTTGTAGGTAGAAAGGGAATAGAGAAGGTTTGACTTGCAGGCAGGGGCATGTGACCCGTGCAGTGCTGTGGCCACTCCTCGGGCCCTCCCAGAGCGAGTCCTTAGCTCAAGTCAGCTTGCGCTTAAGGGAGAACACAGGCGAGCCCCAAGGGTAGAACAGTGAACTCTTCCTGGGCAGCAAGATGCCGCTTGTTCATTAATTCTTCCAGACCACTAAAGAGTTGATCCATGGGATGAATTGCTCCCTGCCCCTTTGCTAAGACCTTATGCTTAACCTCTGCCAGCCCAGGGCCAAGGGTTATTACGAATGGGCTCATTATTCTGAGCATCATGTACAGCCCTGTGGTTTACACCAGGGACGCTGACTGAATGGCTGTGAAATCATTTGCATACTTGTAAATATTGCATACATGCGAGTATTTCTTGTGCTGAGGAGGGTCAGGAGGTTCTAGAGAGACCTAGTGGAGCCTGCTCCGCCCTGTGTCTCCTGCATCCTGCCAGGGGGGCGAGATTCTCCCTGGGATTGCCCCGGGTGCAGGGCCTCAAACCTCCAGTGCTCTGCTCTTAGATTGCGGTGCACGTTGGAATCAAAGAAGGGGAAGAGAGGAGAAGCAATCTTGAGTTTGGCTCTTGTGTTTTCCTTCTACCCCGGGAATTAATATGTCCCCGGGCTGTTCAAATGCTTAACACATTTGGCTACTTACCCCAAAAGGTCGGTGATTTGAGTCCACCCAGAGTTTCCTCAAAAGAAAGACCTGGTGATCAACCTCCGAAAGATCCCTCATTGGAAACCCTAGGGAGCCCAGCCCTGTGACACACACACACACACACACACACACACACACACACACACACACACACACGGTGCGGCCATGGGTCAAGTCAACTCAATGACGCTGGTGGGGGAGGCCCTGTTAATACTGTGTTTGGTGCCTACATGCCTTTTGTGGTTCTGCCTTCACCTGTGTTTTAATCCTGGCCATGTTTACTAATTTTTAAAAACTGAACTTTGCTACCATCCTCTTTCCTTTACAGTTGGATCATGACCCTAGGAATCCTGCATATATTGCCACCCAGGGACCACTTCCTGCCACCGTGACTGACTTCTGGCAGGTGAATTTCATTCATTTATTTCTCTATGAAAATAAGATCTTAACAGAGTGATATTTATAATGCCTCAGATGCTACTGACAATGAAAACTTGTTTACAGGCTCATCAAATGTACCTTTGCTTCATACATTTGTTAGCCCTTCATTTAATTAATTAATTTTTCCTCCTCAAAATTGTCTAGAGAACAAAAAGTCCCTTTAAAAAGTTAATGTTTTTAAAGACTCTTCATTTTTTTAGCCACTTTATTTTTATTTTGCAAACTGTACGAGAAAGACATTATTTAAATTGGTATGGTCAATTCAGACATGCTTCTGAACTATTTTTGTTTTATTTCTAAGAAGGTTAAGAAATGGTGCTCAAATCACGTGTCTATCTTCTTTGAACAGTCTCTCTAATGTATTTTTAATGTCAACCTGATCTGTTTTCATTCAGCATTGGCCTGGATCACGGAGGCTTCAGACCCGGAGATAGGGGGCTGATGCTAACATTAGCTGAGAGGAGCAAAAGCTGGGGGGCAAATGGATTCCCCCTTTCCATCCCCCACATTTCCCTCCGCAGTCATCCACCCCTTTACAAAGACAAGCGTGGGAGTGCTGTGGAAAGGAGAAGCCTGGGGTGAGCCCCCAGTGCTTACGCATTAACTCAGTAATGCTAATGAACACCTCCTGTGTGTTGCTTGCACCCGGTGTCCACAGAACGAAGCCGACACCGGTAAACACGATAAACACTCTTTGCAAGGAGAGTCTAGTTAAAGACAAAGATGTTGGGAAAGACGTGCTGCTCATTGTGGTAGCAACTATGAAAATGGAATGCCTTTTATATCCAGGAGGACAAATAATCAAGCTACAACAGCATGCTAACTTATAACCATTGAGCCACTTCAAACTACTAGTGGTTATATCATTTTCTCATTTAGTTGTTCTTAAGAGTCAAAACCAGATGTGCTGACGAAAGGTCAACACAATCACTTGCAGCCCAGACATTTGTATCCCTTACAGCTTCCCATTGCCTTTCCCAACTTTCCCATCAACGGTCTTCTCTTCCATCTAAGGAACAGAGCTTATCCCTTTCCCTGCCGTTGAGAGTAGTTTCTACAGGCTTCCGGAAACATCACTGAAGGAATCCAGGATATACCGAAGGTTTACTAAGTGTCTGTTGCTTCGTAAGCATATGAATACTCATTGTAGCATTAGAGTCCTCTTACAGGTGAGGCACCTTAGTACCTGGGAGATTACATAATTTATCAAAATCAGCAAATTATAGAACAAAAATCTGAAACATGTCAGTATGATCCCATGGTTTTAATGGCTTCTGCCTCAACACTATTGAAAAGGTGAAATCAAACTGAACCCTTATGTTATATTGTTCAGACCTGTAACTATGACATAGAACCATTAAGCTTTGGCATTAGAATGGTCTTGAGGACCACGTGGTCCACCCACCCTGGGATGTCTGAGTGTCCTCCACCTACCAAAAGAAACCGTCCAGCCTACGGGGAAAGACGCCTTGAACTCCGCCACATCATCCTTGGACAATTCTTTGAGTTAGGAAGTTCTTCCTTCCATTAGGCAAACTGCTCCTTAGTGCAGAAAGGCATCCGCCTTGTGCGGTCCCTTCGACTTATCATTGAAGTGTCACAGACCCCAAGCCTAGCGTTAGCTTCAGGACTCCTCTTTGGGCCAGGCTTGTGTCGGGTTTCTTGTCTTGGGCAAAAAGGACAACACAAATCTTGCATTTTGTGGTCTATCCACAGAATTCAAATATCTCAGCAGAATTGGCATTCGACCCTACTCCTTTATCCCCAAAGGAATATATTGCTGTGTGACATTTAGTGCTTCCATTGTTGTTGTTCGTCGCCATGGAGTTGATTCTGCTCACGGTGACCCGCGTGTGCAGGGTGGAACTGCTCCACAGCGGGCTCAAGGCTGTGACCTTTCAGACCCAGCACCAGGCCTGTCTCCTGAGGTGCGCTGGGGCGGGTGCCAACCACCAGGCTTTTCACTCGCCATTTGCACCATCCACGGACTCCAGTGCCTCCGTGCACAGGTGCTTTCATCTCTGCGAGCCTTTACTTCTCACCCCGCAACGTTGCTTTGCCAACAGAATCACGACTTCATGAGGTCACCGTTACGCCTGCAACAGCAGCTGCTCCTACTCATTGATCTCATGATTTGTACAAGGGACTGTCAGGTGTGTCACTTGTTTTGACTTATAATCTTCACCACCCAGAGACTTAGAAAGACTTCTTCTTTTGCCCAGTTTCCGTTGCTTGGTTTGAGGGGCTTGTTTTTTTGCTTACTTTTACCACTACTGACACACACGCACACACCGTCGAGTCGATGTTAACATCTAGCGACCCCCTGTGGATTCCCCAAGGCTGAACCTGTTTACGTGAGTAGAAAGCCCCAACTTTCTCCTGCAGAGCTGCAGGTGGTTTGGGACTACAGAGAGTGGCAATTGTTGAAATTAATCCATTTTATCAAAATGTTCCCTGGTGGCATAGTGGGTTAAATGTTGGACTGCTAACCTGCAGGTTGGCAGTTCAAACCCACCAGCTGCTCTGTGAGAGAAAGATGAGGCCCTCCCATAAAGATTTACAGATTTAGAAACCCTATGGAACAGCCCTACCCTGTCCGATAGAATTTACAGAGTCGGAATCAACTCAATAGCAGTAGGTAGGTTTTAGTGATCCAGATAGTGGCTTTGATGGTCTCGAGTGGGAGATCTGGGTTTGATTCCTGACCAGTGCATCTCATGTGCAGTTACTCCCATCTGTCAGTGGAGGCTTGAAGGTTTCTATGTTGTTGAACAGGCTGCAACTAAGAAGAAAGGCCTGACTATCTCCTTCTGAAAATCAGCTGATGAACATCCTATGGATCACAACAGTCTGATCAGCAGGGATCACAGAGGGATCTGAGATCTGAGAGGGATCATGATCTTTCATTCCTTTGTGTATCAGGTTTCTGTGTGGGTCAGCAGCTAACAACAACAATTCATTTGTCTTCCTAAATCTTATTTCTTTTGCTGCGATTGACAATATGTGCAGCAAACGTCCATCAACTCGACCGTTTCCTTGGGTACAGTTTAGTGGCATGGATTATATTCACCCTCCCCTTCTGACTGGTTTCTCTCTCATTAACATGAACGCACTGCCTGCCAATGTTTCTGTCTAATCTTTTGAGTTGCTGTTGTCAGTTGGATCCCATTTAGAAAGTTCTTTTAAAATGATGCATATGAAAGATCTTGATTACTAGTGAAGCTAAACTAGTATTCCAAAGTTTAAGATTACTTCAGGGGATATTTGCTGTTGAAAGTTTAAACATTAATCTCAGGGAAACAATTTCAGAGTTTTACCCCCCTCCATGGCTCCAGAAAGTCTAGAGTACATGAAAATGTGAGATGCTACTCTGCATTTTCTCCCTTTTAATCAGGATTTTTTTTTCTCTATGGAGTCGATGACAGTATGCTCAGTAGCTGGGCACCACCCAGCTCTTCTGCTCTCGTAGCAAAAGAGGCAGTTGTTTACAAAGGCAGTTGACCACACATTCCATATTCTCCATCCATAGCTGACTTTCCTTTCTCCACTATAGTGATAAATTTTAACCAAGATATTAACTCATGTCGCAGAAAATATCAAAGCATTTTCTCTTTCATAAGTGCTGATCTTTTGGCCCTCTGGATTATGGAAGCTCCTTTCTGGGACTGGCTAACAAGGTTCTCTGTGAGTGATAAGCACGTCCATGTAAGAAAGGGTGAGGGATCTGCGCTAATTAGCAGGGGGGCAACATTAAAAGATGGATGAGTACAAAGTAGGCCTTTGTTTGACTCACTGTAACAGGACAGACAGGTGGTCATTACAAGAGTCCCGAGAGAGTTCACAGGGCAGGTGAGGATGAGAAGGGAAGAACATGAAGCTTAAAGAGGGTTCCAAGGTCTTCCACAAGAGAGGGAAAAAACAGGAACATAGCCCCATCACGCCTATCAATGGAGGAGAACTAGATCAAGCATTCTGGGAGCTCCTCCACTCTACATGAATACGGAACATTTAGATCTACTCTGGCCCTCTGGAGTTTAGCTCTAAGCAGCACTGGCCCCTTTCCCATGTCATGGCTTCCACGGCATGTTACCACCAGGTACCACTGAGGCACTCTCAGGTAGAGAGTAGAATTGTACTCCCTAAGATTTTCCCGTAGCTGATTTTCTGGAAGTAGGTCCTCAGGCCTTTCTTCTGGGTGGACTTGAATGTCTAACCTTTCAGTTCCTGCTCAGCTGGGTAACCACTGGCACCACCCAGCTGCTTCCCCATCCCCGGTACTCCTGTTTCCCCCTGCCTCAGCTCGCGATTGACTGTACAAATGTCTGCTTTTCTCCCACAAGCCATCCATTACATAGTGTCAAGAACTCCTTCTCTAAAGATGTGTTATGCCTTTTAAGAGTTGGGTTTACGAAACTTTGGTTTACATTCAAAATTTTCTAAAGGTAAGTTTTGTAAAAGAAGATATCCCTGAAGTTTATTCCTTGTATTTGAGGGCCCTCGAAACCATTCAGTTGAGTATCTTTTCCATCTTGGACACTTGGAAACACAGAGCCTGGAGCACAGCACACACTATGCTTACACCTTTTGAGTGCAAATGTGTAGCCTGGGAATCAGCTTTAAAAGAGCACAGAGAGCCTTTCTGGAGAAATGACGTCTCTATGGGGTGTCAATTTAGAGAGTCAAGGATGTGTTTGGGGGTAACAGCTCTAAGGGACTGGCTATATAGTAATTCAGTAAATTCTTGGTGTTCATATCAGTACACATTCATCCGTTTCCCCTAGCAGATAGCACTGATCAATCATGGTACTCTCTCCAGCCAGAGCCACATCTGCCTAGCCTTATATTCTTCCTCAATATCCTGAACTAATCTATTGCTCTCGTTGGGTGCCATCAAGTCGATTTTAGTTCATAGCAACCCCCATGAAGAATAGAACTGCCCTATAGGATTCTCTAAGAAACGGTGGC